TTTTAACAGGAAGAACCAGGCAGCCATCAGCTTTAACCAGTTGGGGAAAATAGGTACAGCAATTCATTGAAATGTGCAAACACGCATGTAAATAAGAGGCAAAATGAGCTGAAAGTTAATATTTGGAATGACCCCATTACATTGTAGCACATAGCAGTGGTGTGGCATTTAATATGTCACACCACTTTATGAATGTGTAATATATTTAATATGTAACTTTTTACCTATATGCACAATTGTCAAAAAAGAGGTACTGTTGTATTCTTCAGGTCATTTGAAATTCTTCAGGTCATTAAGTCTATTCATTACCAAAACGGGCACAGAAGATTAATTATTTGAACACTTTTTTAGATTTTGGACTCCAGTACTTTATAAAATTTACACATATACATTTATTACAAATAAAAATGGGAAAAAAAGAGAAAAATCATTGGATAATGGACAGGACTAAACATCCTTTCCTACTAGTCGCCTAACAAAGAAAAAGTATACTTGGTTGTATTTTGTATATTCCCTCAAAAAATGTTGGATTGACTTTTTCTCTTTAGTTTAGTAAATGCAAGAGTCGATATCTGGGGTGACTGAAAGATAATAAAATCTAACAGTGGGGTGTGATGCTGTGGATATATGGTAATGAAATAAATAAGCAAAAAAAAATGCTGATACTGGTCTAAAGCAGCTGATTTATTTACTTGCACACTTATTCGTCCTATTGCAAACTATAAGGTTTTCCATTTATTTACTTGACAATCCTTCCATAATTTATTATTTGTATGGAAACGATCTCCAGATCACACAGAGCTGGTGGTTAGTCAGTGGCCTCAAGAAGCCAGGGCATTAACAAAGACCTAATTAACTTTGTGGGGCAGGAAACATGATGCAGCTATCAGGTGAAAACACAGCAGGGTCCACTTTACAACAGGAAAGCGCTTTCGTGTTACTGATCTCACGTGAACTTGTTGACCCCTCAATAAACTTCCACTGTTTGTTTAAAAACAGTGATTCTTGTGAATCTGAGTTTAGAAATCGTGACAGGCTGAGCTCATGAAACATAAAGTCTCGTCATTATTTTTACAAAGTTTCAAGAAATGCAAAGCGTGTTTCTATTATTAACATGTTGAAATATGAAACAATGTGAGTAACGTGAGGAGGTTTGTAGAGAGCTCAAAGTAGCTTATCAAAAAGGCCCTTCCTGCCCACACAGTTATTTAAATTAGACCTCTCAGTGTGATGTGCTTCAAGTTCACGGTATGATTGGAAAGTCTTTAGAGCAGTGTTAACAGAGGACTGAGGGAATATCGGTGGACTTTAAAAAAAGAAAGGAACAGTTGCATTTCCTTCATAACTGATTTGTTTAATTACATAAAAACATCCAAGCTAAGCTTTGTCTAACCTGGTGGAGAGGTGCAGCTTGATCAAAGAAAGAACCCATTAGATGTTGAGACAGAGCTTTCTTTAACATTTTGACTCTGGGAAAATCTCCCCATGGGGTCCCCTCAGAAGTAGTCAGAGTTAACATAATCACTTATATAAACCAAAGCTTTGACCTTGGCTGAGGTAGAACAAGCATGATCATTTCACCCTCTGTTCAGTGGTCCACCTGGGAAGGATAGGATGAATACGGGCAGTGACACTGGTTCAGATTTCACAGGATCCATTTCAAGAGAGCAAAACCTTCCAGTACAAAAGAATCACTTTTACTCTATCTCACTGAGGTACCGTTGATGAGCTTCATTGTCAGCATTTCTCTCACACAGTTTCCTTCTGACCCCTTTCTCAAGTTCAAGAAGTTTTGAAAAGAGGACGTCAGCCGTTTCACCATTAATGTCCATCTGAGACGTGAACACAAAGCAGAGAAAACCTGAATTAAGTAAGTGTAAAAGCAACACATCACACAAATACCATCTGCTACTCTAAAAAACGCTCTGTAACACAGGCCTGAGCACTTTCTCTGTGGAATACAGGGCTCTCGTTACTCACCTGTCGCGGCTCGGTGTAGTTTGTCCCAAGCCCTGATGTTAAACTGTGATACTTTGCTCTGGGATCCAGAGATTCTGGCTTTTGTAGAAACAGCCAGTGCTGTGAGCAGAAACACCAGGCCATGAATCTGGGTTCACAGAGCCTTTACAGTGCAAATATTCAAATGATTGTAATAATTTTCAAATGGAAATACCAGTGCCTCTGCTCCATTGTACGGTGTAAGGGTGAAAGTGTTGGTGAAGATCCTAATCTGTTTTGCACAATTAGAAAATACATGAACGTGAGACTTTTCATACGTAACTGCGGTCACATTAAAAGATAGAAATTAAGTAAGTTACCACTTACCAACCACATGATGGGCATGATTAGAGTCCAGAAGGAGGAGGGGAGGATACCATAGGTCAAATTAGTCATCACCAGTCCTGGGCAGACTACTGAGGAGAACAGACCCTGTCACAAGACAGAAAGAATTTATAAATCACAGTGACCTCGTAAGAGTTTCACAAAGCTTGCAGTGATAGTTACCGCACTGACATCAGAGTACGTGACAGACAAACCTGGCCGTTCATGCGCCTGTTAAGAGCCACGCTGAGCATGTCTGAAGCGTATTTGGAGGAGCTGTAGGGCTCCGTCCCTTTTCTGTGCTGAATGTCATCAATGCTGAAGGCAGACCGGCGGGCATTACTTGAAGAGGTCCACATTACCCTGGACGTATGACCTGTCTGACACAGCAGAGGCTCCAGCTCCCGGATCTGGAAAACCAGGAGAGAATTATATCAGGTCCAAGGTGGAAGTGCACAGTAAGGAGTGATGTAGGAGGGGTGCATGAATCACTGATTTAAGCAGGCCAGCATAAGAATATATGGATCAGCCTGAGGCAGGCATTAATAATTCACTGTGTTAGCCAAATCAAATATTCATTTGATAAAATTTTGTAAGAGAAAAAAAGCAAAAGATATTTTATCTTTAAAATGATTATTTTATTTTTAGCAATCTATGATGGATGCTTCACTACTACATGGTGATCCTACAATCTTAATGACACATGCTAATTAAATAATAATAATTTATAATAATTGAAACATCAGGAACAAAACTTGCAGGAAAGAACAAGTTCAAAACATTAAAAACTACATCACACTTATTGGCCACTTTATTAGAGACACCCGTTCAACTGCATGTTTGCCCAAATATCAAATCAACCAACCCCATAGCGTCACCTCAGTGCATTGCAAATTTGGTCAAAACAACCTGCTGAAGACAGATATTCAAAGCTTTAATGGGTGCCTTTTGGTTGGGGGAGACAAAAACTGGGTTAAATAAACATATTGTTTACATTGCTGCACTAAGCAATGCAACTAAGAGCAACACAAACAGCAACAAAGTTTGCAGCTGACTTTCTGTGTCAAACACATCCGCATATTAAAGTCAGTATCCTGAAGTTTATTTATGCTACTGTAGGTTAAAAGACAGCTCTGTGTTTGTGTGTGTGTTTGTGGTGTACCAGGACAAAATGACCAAACAGGTTAGTGGCAAAAACTTCCTGTAGGCCATCTGAGTTGAGGCGGTCTTGTTGAGTCAAGAGACCCTCTGCTGTTGCAAACATGTTGATGACATTTCTGCAGTGGGGAAGGTACACTCTTATAGAGCAGCAAAGACATGCAGCTTGAATATATCCAATATCAAACAAAACAAAACAAAGAAATCATAAACAGGCTTTAGAAATGTACCTGGAAAATAAACCCTTAAAAAAAGCTCTGATGTCCACTTGTGGATTGGGCATAATTCCAGCATTTAGATAGAGAAAGTCAATTCTGTTGTATCTGGAAACACACAAATGTGTATTAAAAGTTAAGCTATCAGTTCCTTATTTGTAGTTCATATCACAAAGAGAACAATCACCAGCGTGATGACGTCAGCACGCAGCATCAAACATCTCTCACCTGGCCTTGACCACCTTAGCAGCGTCGAGCACCGACTCCACGGAGCCCACGTCGAGCTGTAGTAAGTCCACATGGGCACCGGCGTGAGAGGTGAGGAGGGCGCTGCGGGCGGCCTCTGCCCGCTGCATGTTCCTGCAGGCCAGACACAGCCGGAGCTGTGTGTCCTCCGTGAGAAGCCTTTCACACAAAGCCAAGCCGATGCCGCTGCAGACAGATGGCAGACAAACACAGCCGTGCACTCGTATTAACAAACTTTCCCTGAACAACTGAGAGATTACCTCACAGATGAAGTAAAGCAAACTGTAAACATGGAGCTAGTCTGGAGTCACGTTACTGGAGAAGAGATAATGAAAAAGGATTTTCAAGTGACGTGAAGCTTCCATTTTCATGTACTGTTAATTATAGTCTTTGTTTCCGAAGTGATATTTAGTGGATAAGTTAACTAGTGTGTGGAACGTGAGGGGGAAAAAAGGAACATATACAAGTGTTCTGTTTCGTCTCTTTTATAGCTGTATGTTAAGTAAATGGTTATAGGAAGCAGTTATTATATCTTAACATAAAGCTGTAAACCTGGAGAAACAGCTAGTCTCACAGAGATCTGTTACAAATAGTTTGGGAAGCAGACTCAATTTCCACTAGTAATCTATTCTTGAGCTTTAGACTCTAATGCTGAATGATGTTATCCTAAAGGTTTCCCTTTATAAATACAGTCTAGCAATTGCATAAGAAAATACTTTAGACATCAATACTATGCAATTACAGTTGTAAGCAAGCAAATGTGGGATGATTTTGACAGTTTCCTCACGTGCAGTCAACCAGTATGGAGAATCTGGATGTCATCGAAAGAATTATACCCCCGGGATTCACTTTTAGAGCCCATATAAGTAACATATACAACTAGACAACAACTGTTTGGAAGAGCATCCACATGGATCGAAGAAGTCAGAATACTGTAAAGAAACCACTACTGAGGAAGACCAATATGAAGAGAACTGGTTTGGCTATGAGACAAAAGAAACTAACAAGCACGGGCACATGAGTTCCTATTGCAACACACCATCCTATTGCAGTTTAAGGTTCTGTTTTCCCAACAGAGCAAAGGACCAAAAACACACCTCCAGACTTTGTGAGGGATGCTTGAAGGAAGTAATGCATCCGATAAGCTGTCCTCGACTATCATCCAACCTAAACCCAACTGAGATGGTTAAGGGTGAGGTGAGATGCAGAGTGAAACAAAGGAGGCTAGCAAGTGCTGAGTGTATGGGGAAGACCTTTACAAGACTGCTGGAAACATCTGAGGGTGACGACCAGGTTATGAAAGCTTTGAAATAGTTTCATGGTGGACAAAGTTGAGAGATGTGGTTACTACAAAGCCTGTATCCAACTTTTGACAGGTGCAGTTCATGCGCAAAATTATATAGATAAGCCGATTTCTACCTTGCAAATGTATCTTTTTTTACATTTTCAAAATGTTTGCCTTTTAAGCATTTTAATATAATGTTATTTGTACTTTAAAGTTACAGTGTGTAAAATCTCACTGCTAGATGCCAGTAGACTGCTGTCAACTGAGTTCTGTTTTCAGGATATACTGACCTTTCTGTCAGTAAGAGATGAGTTTTTGCTGACGTTAGCTGCTGTTAGACTCTGTTAGCTGCTGTTAGCTGGCGTTAGTGTTGGACTTGGACACTTGGTAAATAATCTATCATATCAAGTGAGAATGTAATCAAACTGGTTATCAGAGAAAAAGTTTTTAGGACACTTGAGGCTAACATTAGCGGTTTCTGGAGACAGGATAGTCGCATGTCCGATCGGCTGATAATAAGAAACTGTGACAATATCGGGAATAAATGAGCATGTTTACACATGTTTTCCTGTTTAAGAGCTCTGACTTCAGTTCAGGAGATGAGGCTTCAGGTGAGGATGATGTTTTTGTCAGATGCTGGCCGCCTTGTTTGTTTCCTTCATGTCTCTGCTTCTTTGGTTAGGAAGACCCCTTTGCAGATGATAAAACATATGTATCATCCCTTATATCTTGAGTTTGAAGGTACAGACACAAATTGAAATTTCCCTTCACGGCATGCAAATTCCTACGAGACCGCTTCACAGTGGTCAGCCACTGTATTCAATATGACATTCCAAGTTCATAAGAACGCATCAATTTGCCGAAAGATGCAATTACCCATGAATCAATGCATATTCATGAGTAGGACATTCTTTTTTTGTTTTAACTTGTGACGCACATACATTACATTTGAATATATGTGCTAGTGAAACATTATTACAGAGTAAGAAAGACAGCTTATGAAAGATTTAGAGGCGTTTAATCTCTCGCTGTATGAACCTACAGTATGTCTGTTACTAACACGCACTGATACAGTTCATAGGTGGTACTTCGTAGTGTAACTAACTATTGCAATAACCTCCATTACGGTTCCGAAAACAGGTTACACTTGAACAAGTCCAACATGTTTTTTGAAACTCATTGTTTAAAATGAAGAGTAGATGTCCAGAACAGCATCTTCTAGCTAACAGCACCCGGTGTCCGTATGAACCATTATAAAACAGTTTTAGCGGACTTACCTGTTGGCACCCGTTACGATGACGACTTTTTCCATGCCTGAGCGGAATGTGCAGCGGCTGTAGAGGAAGCAGACACCGGGGGCAAATTTTAAAACCAGCTGTATTCACCGGGGACGCTCAGCCCCTCGTCCGATGCCGTTGAAAACAGTCAGCCTATTGCTTAGGCAGCTGCGTGGTGTGATTGGATGTCAACAAACAGCTGGCCAATCAGATTTCACTACAGAGAGCGAGGTGGTCCAAAACGATTAAAGAGCGCAACGGTTGAAAGTACAGCTGTGTTAGCAACCCCAGCAGGCTAAAAAGTATGAAACTTATCGTATATTAAAAACCAAACATACAAACGAAGGATAATAATAGCATTTTTTCTTTATTTACAGGTATCCTTGGTCCAACAGGCGTTAAAACGTTGTTCTTTGCTATTTTCCCCACTATGTACAATAAATTCATTTCTGAAAAAGGACATAAACATGTTTATAAAAAATTTTCCTTCGGTTTTTGCTTCGGAAGGCCCATTTTCTTCGGGAAACGTTTTTTCTTCTTGCCAAATTTCAATTTTAAAGGCCAAAACCCCAAACCGTTGTTCCCTTATTAATTTTGCATTGGGTTTGGTTTTTTGTTGGGAACAAAGGGGGGGGGGGATATTATTGCATAAATAGACAGCATAACAAATCATAAGAAAATAATAAATACACAGAGGTCTGAATGCACTGTGCGAATAGAACTATCTGCATTATATCTACAATAGGAGGCTATATTTAAGTGTAGTCTGTACCTTCACATATCTCTCCATTTAGAGCATATTTTTTGAGAAGCAGGCATTGACAAAAAAGTGAATATTTTATGGGTCTGACTCCAAATAAATGAATCTAAACCAAAGGAAGCAACAGAGACCCTGCACAGCACAGTGGAACGATACATCTCCTCTGCTACGCCAGGCTCTCTAACAGCTCAGAGTGTATCTCCTGAAAGCTCGGCCGCTGCTTGGCGTTTCTCCTCCAGCAGCTTAGCATGAGATCCTTGTAAATTCTGTCAGGACAACAGGGAGGCTTTGGCAGGTACACCTGGTAGGATGAAGCACAATACTCTCAATATAGTATTATGAGTATTATAAGTGTTATAAGACACATCTACATACATATCTGAGAACTATTACATCCTAAAATCCTCCACAGTGGCACTCAGGAGGACTGTCAGGTACAGTGGTGTGAAGCTCACCTGTTTGCCCTGTTCCCTGAAGAACTCTCCTGTGTTTTCAATGACCTGCTCGTCAGAGAGCTGGGAGTACGGCTGCTCCTTACACAGAGTGAGAATTTCCCACAGAGTCACCCCGAAGGCCCACACGTCACTAGCCATAGTGAACTTACCCTGAGGGAAAAAAAAGATCATAGACAGATTGGTATAAATTTGAAGCTTAAAAATTCTAAATTAAAATCTATAAAATATTTAAAATTGATCTGCTGTCACCTCTGTATAGAACTTATACTAACCTTTTAAATATATGCGATATTTGGATTAGCAATAATCTTGGAACAATAAAAAACCCAATAAAACTGTAGTGGAATGTCAGATTTCCCTTAGTCCATAAATAACGGATAAATGGAGGCGATAATGTCCCAAATCCATAGATCACTCACTAGTAGTATGCTCTCCCAAGACATCCAGCGAATGGGCAGTACAGCTCGGCCCTGGATCCGGTAGTAGTCCCCTCTATAAAGGTTCCGACTCATGCCGAAATCAGCGATCTTTATGGTGTATTTCTTTCCCACCAGGCAGTTGCGGGTTGCCAGATCACGGTGGACAAAGTTAAGAGAGGACAAATACTTCATACCAGATGCAATCTGCACTGCCATGCCGATCAGTGTGGTGTAACTAAGAGAGAGAAAATACATAGTGTGAGCTAAGTGGCTCTTTGTGTCATTTCCCTGATGATCATTTCAATTACATGTGAATTACACCTACCTGACCATGCTCTTCCCCTCCGTCTCCTCTTGTTCGATCTCATCTTCATCAGCGGCCTTTAGTCTGAGATTGCAGAGGAACTGGTTTAGGTCACCGTTTTCCATGTACTCAGTGATCATGCACAGAGGATCTGTGTCCACACACACTGCCAGCAGACGGACGATGTTGGGGTCCCTCAGACGAGACATGATTCGGATCTCCTTCAGGAAGTCATTCCTGCAGAACGACAGGGACACGTAATCTACAACTTGACTGGCATTGACTGAATGAAAAGCTGTACCAGTACATCTCTGTAAAAGTTTCTTTTACCTTGCGTTCTTGTTGGCATCTTCCCGCAGTGTTTTAACAGCAACAAGCAGAGGGGACTCATTGTTTCCCTCTATGGACAAATCCTCACCCAAAAAGTCCTGCATGCCCTCTGCCTCACACAAGTGGACCTGTTTAGAGGAGCACTTTGTCAGTCCATCATCCACTTGGCATCCCTCGAAACCATCTGTTTAGCTCTGTTTAATACAACTAAATGTTTCCTATCTGTCAGCATGTAGTGATTTCATAGTCTGCTGCTTTTACCAGGCAGCAAGCGCTGTCATTGAATTTTATAAATGATAGCTATAAAGTTACAACAGCATAATGGCGGTGAAGAGAAAATGAGTTTAAAACCCTTAAAGCATCGCCAGCAAACATTAGAGCTACTGGGCATACTTCTCCAAACTGGCCCTCTCCCAGTTTCTCCTTGAAGGTGAGCTTCTGTCTGGGGAACTCCCTCATGGATGAATCTGTGCCAGCAAAGAAATTCATGTTGACAGCTGTGATGGAGTAGATGCTGCTGTTCGAAGACTCCTGCAGACTGATGATATCTGCCTCAGCGTAGTGGGGGGCACCATCGGAGCCTCCGGCTGCAAAGGCTCTGCAGGGGGTACTTGATTCTTATTTGGAAAAGAAAAGATGGAGGATGGGACGTGTCGCTGTAGCTGACCTCCAAAGATGTTCACTTATTTCCTTTAGACAGCTTACCGAGGCGTTCAGTGGACTGAGAAAACTCGGGCAGTTTCCGGATGAGACGCGAGGGCTCCTGGTAGTCGGCACAGAGGGGGAAGATTCTTTCATAGGTGGAGTTGGAGGTCGAGCCACTCTCACTGGAGAGAGACGAGTGGTGGAAGGAGAAGGCCCGTGTCTGGATGGCGAGACGAGCCGTGAGCTCGTCATCCAGGATGCGACGAGATGCCTGAAGATGCAAGAGAGAAGCAGTCGGTATCTGTGGTGTTTTTATAACGTGAAAGTCTTGCGAGGTTTTTCAGGACATTGGTGTTGTGATGTGATGATATAAGAAGAAACTGACATGGAGGGAAAAGAAAGCTCTGGTGCTTTTGATAATGATGTCTTTTTTTCATACAATATCTGAAGCCAAAAAACCCCAAAGAAACCCAAAACAAGGTAGCAGTAAAAATGCTAATTTGAGTATAGATCACCTTATTGCCTTCTTGAGTCTACTTCTTGTTTACCTTTGTTCTATATATTTTAAAATTTGGGAACAAATTTCAGTTTGCAAACTAATTATGAATGATGTTTTTGTGCATCCAGGGTTCAGTGCACACATCACACCATACGATCAGTTGTGGATGTTGAATCATTACTGTAACTTCAAATAACTAAAATTGATTAAATGATTTTAAAATAATTTTTTTCTCACCTTCTCCAGCATCTTTTGCCAGACCTGTCGCCACAGGATAATGACAATGATGGCCAATAGGATGGCTATAATGGCCACCAAGCACCCAATCAGGATTCTTGTATTGCTGTCATCCACTTTATGTGTTGGATCATCCCCTAACAAACCACATTAGAGTTGGATGTTGACATGGATTTAATGTAATTCATTACAGTTCAAATTCTAAAATAATTAAATTTTTTCAAACATAATGCTTTTGTTTCATTATATTTTATAAGAAACCGGCCATTTATTCTAACAATAATCGGTAATTCTTGCTATTATCAGCAGGGGGCAGTGTTGAGCCAGGAGAAATTTAGGTCAAGCAACCTTTTAAAGCATTAGAAGTCCAACCACATCTAAAATAAGGTGCATTGCACGATCGATGAAATATAAAAACAGATTTTTACATGAAATCAAAATCAAACAGTAACAACACATTTATGTCTTCTTCTATCTCATATTTTACCCTATAATTAAAAATGAAAAATGTGACTTAAATAAGAAAATATCAGAAGAGGTTTGGCTGGTCACCTGGTAATATTTTTGTCGGGTGTCCATGCTTGCGAGGAGCCATTGATGTATTGTACACTGCTGAGCCTGTAATTGAAAGAAATAAAGGTGGTGAGACATGGCACATGCTCCCTTTAGATTATGGAATTAAAGTCTCTAAAGCAAAGGCTACACCTGATCTTTGCTTTGCTTTTTTCTTTTTACCTGACTGGAAGGCCACCTCACTGAACAGCATCCAAAGGTCACTGAAGTGGAAGCGGCATTTAATGGTGCTGGCTGTGCGGTCCCCGAGGGGCACCATGATAAAACGAGCGCTTTGGCTCACACGATCAGCAGCAGGCCTGAAGGTCACCGGGTCTGCCTCCCACTCTGATCCTGACCGAAAGTAACAAGTAACCTGCCTGAACATCCTCACCCCTCGGCTGAACATGTTGTTGCAGTGAACCTGCGAAGGTGAGATGTGCAAGTATAAGAAAAGCATGATTAAAGTACTTAAATAGTCTGTTATTATTCTGCAGCCCTTACCGACCTGGCATTTCTCTCTCTTTTTTTTTTTACTTAAAAGTGCTCAAAATAGTCAGAGCCCGACTGAGATGATGGTGCAGGCGAAGGTGTAGCCATGACTAATCTGTCTAGCTGTGCAGTTGCAGAAATATCATTCATCTTACATCTCTGATCTCTTGCCACGGCACTTATCCACGAAGATCAGGCTAATTATACAGAAAATGTAATTTTTTTCCTTCCTCCAGCAAGGCTGTCCTGTTCTTTTTTTAATGCCCCAATAAATTTTACAGCAGCTGTAGAAGGTGGGTGCTTGCCCAGCAGAGTGCAGAATAGCTCAATTCAGCAAAGTGTTAGCTCTACAATTTCATGCCGCTCGCTTAAAATACCCCCTGCGCTGACTTCTTACCTTCATGGACGAGAAGTTTCGCACATGGTCGAACTCAAAGATCATCTCCACGTAACCTCTGGGG